TAGTTTACTTGTAAGATTCAAGGAGGGGCTGCAGCTCGCGCCTCTCGCTGGGATGTTGTATGAACTCACTTTAAATTTGCTTCTGAATTAATAAATTTATTATCATTCATAAAAAAAAATAAGAGGAAATTTTCATAGATCATTTATATATTTTTTTAAAAGGTATAGCAACTAATAGGAAATTGAGATTTTTGCAATGAGGTTATATGTCTCTTCGTCTAAAAGAGGATTTTCAAATGAATAGCTAAAGAATTATCAAAAAGAAAAAAACATGATGGTAGTGCTTAGTTCACAGACAGGCTGACAAGTATGGAACTGTGGTCATGCAGCTACATCATTTAGAATTTTATATTGATATAAATAGCTTAAAAGATGGATGGTAATATTCACCTTGATAGAAAAAAAATGAAACCTTTATCTTTATAGGATCTTCTATGTAAGTTGCGTGATTGATGGAACTTTTGAGCATATCCATGATGTGTTGACTTTCAATCTTTTAACAATTTGATAAGAAATGAACTGTCAACAAATAAGTTGTTGAGAATTCTTCCTTTTTGTTGTGCTGAACTCCCATCAACGTAAAGCTTCTATCTCAAAGATGCTATTAGGCCACATAGAGAAGAAATCCTAAAAAATCTGGGCAGTCTGTTCTTAGTGGTTGTAGATCAGTGGATGATTGCAGAAGGTGCTTCTGCAATGCGATGTATCCAACTGTTTATGGATCCAGATACTTGACCATCAACAATAATATGGCCCCTCTGACAAGTAAAGGTTTAGTTCCCAATAATTCAGTTAAGAACCAGAATTTATTCTGGGAGTCTCAAGTACAAAATTTGGATGAGGGAGAAAATCAGGATCTCAAATTTTAAGAAATAAAAAACACAGATAAAATCAGTATTCCGAAATTTAAGAAAATAAAGAAGTCATTAAAGTAAGATAAGAATATATTATATATCAAGAAAATATACAAATAAAGAAAGAAAACTACCTGATTAAAAAATAGGTTGAGGTTGGTTTCGGGAATTAGTACACAGATGGTAGGTAGATCTCAGTGGTTGATGTTCTGTTTCCACCCCTAATCCTTGAAAACAGTTGACTATTATCGAATCCAAAACAGACTATTGACAACCATAACTGTTACTGTAACATGAATGGTTTTTTCTTGTTTAATCTTAACTCAGAAAAGAGAGATTCAATAACAAAGAAATGCCCATATGAAACAAGTTTTAATTGGGAAGAAAATTTTGAGAAGAAACACATGCATGCCAAACAAAAACCAAGTTGAAACATCAGTAACAGCAATTTAGAAGAACTCCGGGATTGTATTTCAATTTTGTTTTAGTAACAAGGAAACCAACAAAAAAAAACGATAAAACAGTACCGTGCTGTTTTGGGTACCATAGTGGGACTCAAAGGAAAAAAAGGCCCTCCCTATGACCCTGTCCAAAATACTTACTGGTTGTAAGGAATGAGATCTCGTCAGAGTGCATGCAAAACAAGTACAAATGCAAATCGATCAATCAACATCCTGAGAGTTTAGAACCTTGGCAGAACCATATGTTAAGGGGGGGGTGTTCTACAATGTGAATTGTTTTTTCTTGTTGCTGGTCCCAAAAACAAATCAAAAGCATTTGAGTTGAAAACAGATTGTTTCTTAAAACAAAAACACAAAAACATGTTCTTGGTTGTGTGTGTTCTTTGTTTTCGAAACTGAAACCAAAATCATGTTCTTGAATCTGGTTTTAAAGGCATGTTTTCATTTGGTTATTTAACATTATATTCCAAAAATCATATACTTTCTATGCTAGAAAATTTGTTTTTGTTTTAAAAACCATTATTTTGTTGGTTCCAAAAACATTTTTTGTTTTTCCCTTTGAAAACAAAAACATAGTTCAAGAACATGTTTTTGTTTTTTTTTGCTGATGTGGCAATTCCAAAAACAAATGAAAACAAAAACATTCATGCTGTAGAACACCCCCTAAAAAATTGCAAATTGACTATTCTCTACCATTTTGTTTTAAATAGTCTAGCTCAGAAGAGCAAAACCAAGCCCTACAAATCTAAAATATGTCTAAATACAAAAGGAGCCTTGTATAATTTTGCACAATTGATTCACAAAGAGAAATTCTAAGAGAAGTAGGGGGGAGTTGTGAGGAGAAAGAGGAATTGGATGAAACACCTGCTCGCTAAATGTTTTGGCACATGGATGCATATGATCCATGTGAAACACCACTGCCACCTTTGGCAAAGAAATAGAGAGAACGAAGAATGAGAGTGAGAGAGAGAATAGGGGTATTATTGGAATAAAAAATTAATCATCAACAAAAAACAGCTGAGTGTAATTCTCTCTTTTATACATAGGTTATAGATAAATTTTCAAGTGACCTTTTGGTTAGTAAGCAACTTACCAATTTTTGGTTCATCTATGATATTTTTTTGGTTAAAGGGATCATGGTAATATCAGTATGATGAATTAAACTATCAAGGTGGTTGTTGCAATTTTTGAAAATTTACATTAAACTAACATGGTGCCAGTGTCAGGAGCAAACTCCATTTTGTTTCTATGATTTTAGGCAACAAAATAGTTGTGACGTTTCTTGGTGCGAACTTGGGCTGAAAAGTGTGAAATCATAAGTTTGTGTCTGAGAGCAGCCACTGTGCAAAAATGGTAGTGGTTATGACCATGCCCACTCAACCCCTCCCAGGACCCCTGATAGCCAGGACCAGCATTGGGTAGTGAGTAGTGGCCTATTTAGAATATCTAATGAATAGGTTGATCATTGATGAAGTTGAGTTGTAGTACAGTGGTACACCCAATTCCACCTTTTTTTATTTGATTATCTGCATGAACTTAAGAGGTATGTGGCGTGCACCATTTTGACCTAAAATCCATTCATGTCCTTAATGTCATCTACACATACATTGCTAGGAGCAAATACATGCATTAATTGTTTTGATTAATTTTTTATACATGGACCAGAGGTTTTTATTGAACTATTACTAAAAATTAAAGCAAACTACAAAGAGTAAAACTTAGTTCTTGAAAAGAAAAGGGTAAAGCTAGCCCAAAATGCTAGTCTCCTACATCATAGGTTTTCAAAAAACAAATCAGCAGCATCCTTATCTTGGGGATTAGGTCCATAATACATCTTGTCTGTAAGCCTCTTCCATAGCAAGTGAATTATTATTGTGCCAAAAGCTGAGATGCCATTGTCATGGACGAGTCTACCCTGTTACAGGAGTAATGATGGTGTGTTGGTGTTGAAACCAATTCCATCAAAACTTGAATTACACCTTTGTAATGTCAAATTTTTATACAGGCCCCCATTTTGTGCAAAACTGTAGGTGCTAGCTGTTGGGATGGCTTGGAAAGAAAATATTACTGCTAGTGATGGAATTTTTTCTTTTTGAGAAAATATTATTGTGTTGGTTATTCTGATGTTGGATCTGCAATGATAGAAGGCATTTAGAATTAGGATGCATTGATATCCACGGCTTGTCTATTGCATTTGATTAAGTTGCAATAGCCCACGTTATGAAAACTGTTGTCAATTCAGGTGACAGCTCTCATGTTTCAGAAAGTTCGCAATCAATTACTTTTTAGAAAAATGGGAAAATTCTCCCGTTGATATTATGTCATTTCTTAAAATACAGTCAATAAATTATTCATAAAAAAAAGTCAATAAGTTAAATGATGTAAGATTTGAACTTGGTTTGTCCTTTTGAATATTGATCTTGCATTCTCTCTTACATTTGCATAAAAATTATTTTCATTTCTTACTCTGATTGGAAGACAACTTTTTTCCAGAACATGATTCCTCTGCATCTGGAAGGCCATCAACCAAACATCATGGCATTGGCATGGATTCAGATGGAGCAGCTAAATGCACTCCAGACACTAGTTTACAGAAATCGGCTAGTACTGTTCTTGAGATGTGTCCAACAAGGGCTTCACCTGCTACTTCAGGAATTGGTCATAAGGAGGTTCCAGGCTTACTTATTAAAGGTGGAAGTCCATTCAGACTCATACAAGACTATGCTTCTGATGATAGTCCTGATGATGATGATAATGGACCATGTCTTGAGGATGTTAGCCCAGTAAGGGTCTCACCATCTGCTACTATGGATGCTAAAAGTTTGCACAATGATGCAGAGACCAATTTGGATACAGCTGGTGTCTCAGGGAATGTTTCTGTGACTACAATGGAGTTCACATCAGTTAATGAGTCAGTTGTGGTATCTCCTGTTAGCATGCCTGTTGGGATACTGGATGTTTCTCCAGAACCACTGAAAGTATCAGAGGCAATTTTAATAGTTTCTTCTCCACCAGATGTGACCCCAGTAATTGATGAACTTAGTATTAGTAAACATGGAAAACAAACATCTAGTGATCAAGCCGTTCCTCCTGAACCATTCAAGCAGAAGGATGCTTTACATGATGATCGTGCTGATATTGATCCTCAGGAAGGAAAGTTACATAAAGAAGATACTCAACAGGCTTCAACTCCGTTGAAAGTTGATGAGTTTGGGAGATTGGTAAGAGAAGGTGCCAGTGATAGTGACTCTGATGGGTCACGCTATGATGGCAGGCGTAAGAGAGGCAGGAGCAGAAGTCGAAGCCGATCTCCCCCAGGTAGGAGGAGGAGGAGGAGGAGCCGCAGTCCATGGAGGAGAAGGGAGAAGCGAAGTCGATCTCGCAGGTATATGTTGTACTATTTTATATAGATTGTGGTTCTGATAAAAAAAATAATTTATTGTGAAAAGGTGGGGGCATTATGCTTTTATGAATTTTCTCTTCTATGTCAACTATTAATGTGTAGTTATTAGCTATGTTGCTTTCTTAAAAGCATTAGTGGCCATTGAGAGATTTTAAAATTCTTGAATTGTTGTGTTTCAGCTGGTCTCCTAAGAAACAAAGAAGCAGGAGCAGGTCTCCTGCTTTCAGGCGCATGACTGAGTTTGGTGGTGAGAAAATGAGAAGGGATAGGGGTCAGGTTCCAGAGTGCTTTGACTTCCTCCGAGGTAGGTGCTACCGTGGAGCATCTTGTCGCTATTTGCACCATGATTCTGCCATTGGTGATGGACCAAGGCACCATAGGACTAGACAGCAGCATCTGGAAATTTCACTGGATTCAAGGCGTGGAGAGGTTATAGATGTTCAGGCAAAAACATCAATCTATGACCATGATGATGTCACGGGCCAGGAGTCACAATCTTTCCGGGATTCATCTGTGCTTAGCACTGGTGCATCAAAAGAAGAGGGTTTTAATGGAAAAACTGAAACAGTGTCTGAAAGTGATTGTATTCAACTCATGACTTCCAATGAAATTGGCCAATTAGAAACTCTTACTGGTGCAGTGGGTCAGTCTGAGAGTTCTGAAGAGGTGAAAGTACAGGAACAGCAAGTTCAACGTGGACAGGTGGAATTATCTGCTCAGCAGCCTGTTGAGACCCTTGAGCCTTTGAAGGTTGACAACTTTACAAAAGAATATTCAACTGATGCTGAAATCCAAAATTTGCCTCTTGATGTTTCTGAGGTGAAACCTTCAATGGAGGAAAGTTCAATGCCTCAGACACCTAAAACCAGCATTTCTGTTTCTGCTGCCCTTCCAGTGCTTGAAGATGTTGCTAACAATTCTCAACAAAACAGTAGCTCCTTGATACCTCATCCTTTACCTGCTCCAAGTTCCACATCTTTACCATGCCAGCTGCCTATGGATGAGCTGCAGCCGAATATGACATCAACTCAACCATATCCAAATCCAACTTCAATGAGCCAGCCTTGTCCACCTGAGGATTTTGCACCTCAATATTTGGCTCCTAAGGAATTCCAACCACCTAGCTCTCTGGATGGAGAACATCAGCTTCCACCTTTCAATCTACCGCCTCCCCCTCCTCTTCCTCAAGATTTAAACACAGTAGGAGCAAGCTTTCAGTCTCAGACTGCTCCCCCAGTTGAAAGTTTTCCTCCCTATCAAGCTGCAATCCATGACCCTCATTCTCATTTACCACCTCCACCAAGAGCCCCTTGGACATCTCTTCCAGGGCCACCTTCATATGTTAATGAATCAACTCCAAGCCTTGCTATTCAGACACCTGCCTTCCGTCCAGTGCTATTTCAGCAGAATTCCCCTCGTCCAAGGAATGACTTTCCTTCTCAGGCCTTGACGAGACCTTATCCACATGAGGAGAATACACAGCTCCATCCTCGAATTTTTCCTCCAATAGGGGATCCTCATCGACCTCCCTTGCATACGGAGGATTTTAGATCAAAGCCACTGCCCGTGGATGGTCTGCAGGATCAACCACTGAGAGGCCCCATTTTTGGCAGAGAAGAGCGGTATATACATTCTGCAATTTCTGAAGCCAGTCAGTTTCATCCTCCACCTCAGCCAGAATATCATTTGCATGCTCGGCCTCAGCTCAGACAAGTGCACCATGTTGTCCAACCTGTTCGGGATGATGTACCAAGCTATCGGGTGCTTCAGAATCAAAGGTTTAGTTCCCAGTTCCCTGTGCAGGGTTCTCAGCTTGTATCTTTCCCAGCTGAAAATCTACCTCCTAGGCCATTCTCCAGGGACGAATTTGGTGCCTTGTCTACAGGGAACCTATCTTACTCAGAACACCGACAGCCATCCTATGGCCTGCAACCTTCTGTTACAGATGCCTTTTCTTCACAATTGGGTGCACCTGGGAAGGTTGATCCTTCTATTTCAAGATATTCAAGCTTTTTGGACAGCAGTCGACTATCTTGTTTATCTGAGGTTGGAGGTTCTAGAATCTCTAAGCCAAGCCACTACAATCCATTTGCTTCTACTTTTGAACAGTCAGTTGGGAGCTCAAAATTTAGTTCTAATTTTGTGCGAGACATTGACACAAACTACACCAGGAAATATGATTTTCCTTATGGTTTGAGCCATGTTTCAATGGATGGGCAACACATTAGTGATCTTGGATCTAGACAGACAACTTCATCACCAGATTCTAATAGGCTGGCTGGGCAGATTTTACCTAGGTCTGGTAGTTCATTGCCTGCCCCACTGGGGGAGTTGAATGATAGAGTGCGCTCACGGGGGGTGTCTGCAGAAGTCTTTCCAGGTACCCAGACTCCGCTCATAAGGGAGTCAACAACTGACCAGTATGATCCACTTTTTGATAGCATTGAACCATCTTCAAGTTCAATTAAGAAGCTTGATCATCTTCAAGAAAGAGATTCAACAACCAATGTTGTAAAGCCTCTCCCATCCATAGTTAATGATTCAGAAGCCATGTTGAGACTCAGCAGCTCACATAAGCTTCCAACTGCAGAAGAGGACACTAAACTGAAAAAGGATTCAGCTTCTACTGCTGCTAAGTCTCCAGAGAATGATGAATTTGGTGAGACAGCGATGGATGCGGAAGTGGGAGTTGTGGAGAATGAAAGCCCTGAGCCAGGGGATGGGAAGAATTGGAGCCCAGGGAATCCAAATGATCAAGCAAACCCAGGCACAGGAGAGATTGAGATCGATCAGGTTCAGACATCGGGAAAGAGCAAGAAGAGCAAGGATTCCAGATCAATGAGACTTTTCAAGATTGCCCTTGCAAATTTTGTAAAGGAGGTTTTAAAGCCATCATGGCGTCAAGGTAACATGAGCAAGGAGGCATTCAAGACCATTGTCAAGAAAACTGTTGATAAAGTATCTGGAGCTATGAAGAGTCATCAGATACCGAAGTCTCAGGCAAAAATAGATCGATATGTTGAGTCATCACAGCGCAAACTGACTAAACTTGTGATGGTAAGTTCCCTTTTTCCTAGCCACCTTTTCTTTCCTCGTTAAATTCTGAACTGTAACTGACAAACTTGAAATGTGCTACAACATACTTGCATGCAATATCTCGCATGTGCTCTCTAGCAGTGTTATTAAGGCTCTGTTTGTTTGCAGTGTAAACCTGAATCGGATATAAACTTTGTATCCGGTTTAGTTTCATATGTGCTTGTTTGTCATAATGATTTGCTCTCCTAGATAATGCAAAATTTACACTCATTGACAGTGCAAATTTTGCATATAAAAACTGATACAAAATTTCACCACCTTTCCTCCCATATTGGTTCTCTTTTATGAAATGGGGACCACATCATTTTGCTTCCTACATTGTTCCTCCCAAACAAATAACCTTCCTCTTACCTCCATTGTTTTCCAAATGATGTGCGGACCACATCATTTTACTTATTGCAAACAAGCAAGACAACGCTAAACTTAAGCAACAGTAAACCAGAATTTACACTCTGTCCATTTGCACTCTCCTGCATTTATACTATAGTTCAGATGAAATTCGCACTGTGAACAAACAGAGCCTGAAGGTAGTCACCTCCTCCCTCTCTGGTGATTACCGTAATCTAGTAGAATAATTGGGGATGACTGTTTAGGGCAGTCTAGTAGTAATTTAGTTGTCCATCTGGTAAGTAAACTGGTTGCATATGTCCACATGTATGCCCAGGCAATATGGACATCTGCATGTTGTTTTTCTTATTATCAGCTATCCGTTTGTTATAGGAACTTGGTGCAAAATCCGACCAGTTTATGTTGACACTAGACAGCAATAGTTATTTATTTAGTTCTACATTCTTCTGGCGGATATTTACGAACTTGTTCTACAGGGTTATGTCGATAAGTATGTCAAAGTATAAAAGTTTCGATGTCATTCACTATACGGGAATCTCTTGTGGACAGTGGTGGTAAGAATTTGCTTGATATTTTTTGGTGCATTGATAGAACTGGTTTTATCCAAAAAATGGTTATAGTACTGGTGCATAGGTTGCAGATAAACCCAGTGAAAGGTCGTGCACACATGATGAGATCAAGTTTTTGAGATGTTTTACGAGGTTGCTCTGGGCAACAAGGAAGATAATTGGCCTCAAACAAGGAGATATTAGCATGGCAGATTACTAAAGAGCTTAAACCTGATGAGTTCTTAGAGCTCAAAAAATGTATGTAATTCACTCAGAATGTTGTTCTCTCTCTCTCTCTCTCTAATTGATATCATAATTTGTGTAAAATAATTGATTCCCATAATCTTTGCTCAGTAGTGTCTTCACGCAATCTCTTACTACCAAAGTGATTTTTTGACAAGGCATCAAGAAATTGCAAAAAGAAAATTCATTTCCTGTGTTGCGAATTTGGTCACCTGCTCATGTTCCTTTGAGAAATTTTGATCGTGTATGCAGTATTTTAAAAGTGAGAGACAAGAGCTTCCGAATGCTTGAGAATGTAAGAAACGCGTCCAATTCATCTGCCATTCTAATAGACGGACTTTTAGAATTGTGAATAGAAAGAAAAGAATTGCAATCAGTTAAAAGAAAAAGAACTTCAAATAAAGGATGGTGGCAATCGGTTTTGCACTTTTGCTGCGATATGGATTGATGGTGGTGGTTGCAGTTTTGGATATTTGAGTCCTATGGTAGGTCCAATATATTAAATCGATTCTAGAGCTGTGGGGGATTTAATTCGGGATCAGTGGCTCCCATGTTCTCGAACTGTTGTCGACCTGGATGGTCAGGCTGTTTGGCCTGGAAACCATTTAGGCAACTAGTTCTGTTTCACCCTTAACCCATATTTACTTGGTCAGTGACTCACTGATCCGGTTGGTTGAACTCTCAACCCAAACAATAGTTTTGGTTGTTTTTTTATTTTAATTAATTTTTATATTTTTAAATTGGAAAGGGCCATTCGTTTAAAAAAATCGGTGGCCAAAGCGGCTCTGCTTTTAGATCGATTTTTAATACATAGATGAAGAGTTTTATGTCAAACTTGGAGTTTTGTGATGCGGCTGAGGACAGAGGATGGCGTGAATACCGAATAGTTTTGTAATATTAATAAAAATCTATTGAATGCAAAAAGTGCAAAACTAGCTACATAATTAGCTGATCTCTCTGCCCCCATTTTGTCAAATATGCTCATGGTTTCATTCATGAAGCTAAGTTTTTTTTTTTTTTTTAATTCTTTCACTTGGATATTTTTGGCTTTATAATGTAGAACCCACTCGAAAAGCTTATAAGCAATTTTGATGAAACACTAGCGTTGAAATTGACAATGTTTTAAAAACCGACTTGGAGGGTGAATGGTTTTTGCATATTCGGCCATTTGGGTCAAATGAATTAACCTGCGATTGTTGGCCCATAAATTAGTTTTTTTCCTTTGTTTTTATGTTAAAGGTCGCAGAACCAGCTGAAGGAGCTAAGCTAATTGTCATCTTTGTTTGCCCAATGAACCAGCTAAATAGGATTGTAATCCTTCCCATGATTGATTAATGCAATCTATCCTTATCTATATTTATATTTTTACTATTATTAAAATTACAAATGAGGGTGTGGAACTTTTTTTTACTAAAATGCCTATATTTGTGTGTTTAATCCATCTTTAATTATGAGGGTGTGGTACTATTATTAAAAGTACCAGTGGAAGGATTATATTAAGGTTGCATTTGGCATTTCTTATTTTAAGGACTTGTCTCCTTTTTACTGTTAAAATGCCCTTATGAATACTGAGTTTTTAATTGCAAAAAGAAGATGCGTAAGTCTTATATTTAAGGTGTTAGCTCCCATTATCTCTTTTAAAATATTATATTTTAAGTTATTTTTTCACTAATAAATGCTACTAAGTAGATTTATGTTTGATACTTTTAACAATAAACTCATATATTTTAAAACTAACTGCAAAACAAAATCATTCTTTATCCAAGTGATGACTAAGCAATTCAACCATCTAAATCAAATTGGTCAACCCATGAAGTCATAATCGAATAATAAAATTTTTAAATAGAAATAAATATATAAAATTATAAAAATGTGAAAAAATTACACACATTTATGATATTTTTATTAATCAAATTAAAAATAAGTTTAATAAACATGAATTATTTTTATTGATGATGAAAATGAAATAAATAATCTAAAATTAACAAAAAATGAAATTATTTTCTTGTTCGATGGAGATCAATAGTTCAACTTTTGGGTCAAATGTGTCAACCTTTAATGCTATAATTAAATAATAAAAATTAATAAAATATAAAAACACAAAAAAAATAAGTATGGCATATCAGAATTATTTTCACACATAGAAGTAAAAAATTTACAGGAAAATTGAGCACATTTATAAATTTATATTTACACAATTATTAAAAATATGAATAAGATCGTGAAACTTTCTTTTAACTAAGATACCAAATTTTTTTAATGTAATCTTTATTTAATTGTGTAGTTTAAGATGTAATTCGAACTACTATTTTCCACCTCATTCAATTCTCTCTCTCTCTCTCTCCCTCTCTCTAAATTTTACATATTTTTTGATAATTGAACAGAAAAATATACATTAAGAAGATAAAATATTATAAAAGGAAGAGTCCAGGTTGGCATGTAGGCCTATCGATGCATTTGAAACTTTGTAATATAATATGAAGTGTTTACGTAATTTGATTTGGATTTTGTAATATGCATTTGATTAATAATATAGAACAAAAAATAAAAAAAACATGAATTTTATAAAAAACTTTGGACACATTATTACTATCATTCTCATTATCTAGAATTGCCACATACAAAGCATGTACACACTTACAAGTTAAAAGAAAAGCTTATATTTAGTGTATATCTATATCTACGTTATTCTTAGAAACCAGTTTCAGGCCACAAGTTTCTATCTCCTTATTGTTGTGCTGATCCTCTTAAAATTTTTGAAAAATAAAAAACCATAAATGCGGTTAATTGTTTCTTTCACTTTGGAAAGTGAAATGTGGTGTACCCATTATTATTATTATTATTATTATTATTATTATTATTATTATTTTGTCATGATTTCATTGACTATTAAATTCCTAAGTTCCACTGTTTCGTTAAATTCATTCTTAATTTTCTCCTGATCAAGGGCCTTTAACTAGAGCATCAAATGGAGTTACTCAACCCAAGATCCAAACTTATATTTATCCATTTTTAATTGGTTATTTTGCTTATGGGACTACACAAATGAGGGTGGTAACCCATTCCCTCCCTTAACCCCCAACGCTGGTGGCAGAAGGATGTGATCTTAGATCTCTAGGAGTCAAAGATCCTACCAACAAATATAAAAATTAGTTGGACTTATATTTGCTTCCATGAATCTTATCAGAATCCAGGATGGACATGGACTTGGGTGTCTGACCTATTCAGATCCTAATACCTTTATGGAAGATGATAGGGCTGTTCACGGGTCGGGTTGGGTCGGTTTATTGTGGTTTTTCCAACCGACCCGACCTGGTCGGGTTACCCGACATAGAAATCGAAACCGACCTAGTGTTAAAAAAAATCAACCTGATCGGTTTGAGTCGGGTTGGGTCGGTTTCGGTTCTAAGTTCATCCCTGTGATAAAATCTTGCTAATTTTAAAAGCAGTCATAAAATTGAACATCATTTCAGCCATCTCCTATGATAAAATTTAAATGAAAAGTTAATCACAAAAGTTGTTCATTAATTACTATTCACTAATTCCAAGTTTCTTGCAACCATTCAAAAACTAGGTGAACTAATGGACTTTGGAACTTCATATTTAAACTAGGAACTAAGTCGGTTCGGGTGAGGTTGATTTCAGTTTTCTTGTGTGAAAACCGAAACCGACCTGAATCATCGGTTTAGGAAGTTACACAACCCGAAACCGACCCGTGCTAATGACAACCCGACCGACTCAGGTTGGGTCGGTCCGGATTGGTCGGTTGGGTTGGGTTGGGCTATCTTATGAACAGCCCTAGAAGATGATATTTTATGAATCGTATTTACATGTTTACAACTTGACTAAATTCAATTGTGTAAAAGTGGGTCATGGGTCATCCATGTCTGGATCCGGTCTGTATTTGTGCTATAAGATGGTCTTTTTTTAGTTTGGGTTGTATTAAAATGGACTGCATACGGACACTACCGATGGATCCATTTGGATCTTAATCTAAATCCAAACCTGATGAAGCGATAAAAGATAGGAGTTTTTGGGGTTTGAATATAGATTTTACTAGATGTTACAATTTTTTTACACTTTCTACTGTGTTAAATTCTGTATTTTTTAAATTTAAAAATAAAATCATTATACAAGGAACTGTTTAAACTTTTTTTTTTGATATGCGGACCTTTTTTTTTTCCGCTTCCAGGCGGATGAGGACCAGGGCTATCAACGGGATGTAAAAACCGTTTAGTCGGGGGTGCGACTTGGGCGGGACCAATCCAAGCCCGAATTTAAACGGCTAGGTTTGGATTTTTGGGCCTCGGGCTGAATCGATTGGCAATATTAAACGGGCTAGGCCGAGTTCAGGTCTAGCTCTTGGATAGTCCAAATTCGGCTTAAACTCATGCTGCCTATGTAGTATGTAAGTGTAAACTGATTGAATTTGAATCAAATCAAACAATGTTTGAATCGAATTTGATTAAAAGATCAGTATTCTATATCTAACGGATATTGAAAATTGATGCTCGAATTTGATTAAATATTCAAATATTTGATTCGATTCAAATTCGACCAATTAATTATTTTAGGTAATTAATAAATATATAAAATAAATAATTTATTATATAAAGTATATAAATATATAAATTATTTATATAATTTAATTACTATATATAAAATGTATAAAACATTTAAATATTTTCTATAGTATATATAAGAATTAAATAATCGATCGAGTTCAGATATTTATAGAATTGAATAAGGTAATATCCAAATTTGAATATGATTAGTTATTCGGTATGAATAGGATATCCGAATTTGACTGGTTAAATATTCAAATAATCCAAATTTGATTCGATTATGTAGAATCTTGAATTCAAAATCGAATTTTCAAATACTGTTGACACCCCTATATGTAAATACATACATGGATTTTTTTTTCTTGGTGAATCATTACATACATACTAAGCCAACTGAGTGGTCGCTTAGTTGGCACGTAAACTGGGTAGTCTTAGGTGAGATGCAATTTCGATTCATGCTATCGGCTCTCACCACCTTTGAGAAGAGTTAATAATCTTGTTAGAAAAAGTACCGTACTATGCCAATGAAGATTGAATTACGACCCCTATGGGGCAAAGGCAAATGATTCAACACAAAAAAGAAAAACATACATACAAACATACCTTTTATATTAAATTTTAGTGTGA